TTATATCTCTATTGATATAACAGGAATTAGAGAATTTCCTATAGCTCATTGAACTACAGAAGAACAGTGATTACAGAATTAATACGCAATACCTGGAAATCTGAAATGGACATTTCAGGTGCAGATTTCATTGATAATTAGGGATGCTTTAAACACTTTAAGTTACCATTTAATATAAACATGCCAACAGGTTAATTCCTATTTATATTTTTTATTGTATAGTCTTTTGGGTAGCTCTAGAAGTCAATAAATGAATCATACCCCTGCAGCCAGCAGAATTGAACCCTCCTGCTCTGGAAGAAGGGTGAGACACAAGATTCAATTCGCTCGCCCAATTGAGAGGAGCAGTGGAAGCAGCGGTGGCAAGGAGGATATGCTGTGTCTCACCTGAAAGGCCCCAAGAAGTGGTTGGGTGGTAGCAAGCATGAAGAGGATGAGGAGTGGCAATAGGCAGAGTCAGTGTTCCCCCCCTAGAAAAATAGGTGCCGGTGGTGGTGGTTTGGCAGAGTCAAATGCAGATAACTTTGGATCACCCTGGATTGGGTTGGGTTGCCCATAGCAAGCCAGTATTGTCAGGGGCCTATCAGTGTGGTGTCAGGTGAGAAGAAGGAGAAGCAGGCAGCCTCTACTTTGCAAGCACATTCCCTGCAGGGACACACTGGGGAAGCAGAGCCCTGCAAGACTGAACCCTCTAGTAAGCATCACAACTGGCATCCATTTTGCAATTCTCCTGCAATAATAATAATAATAATAATAATAATAATTTATTATTTATACCCCACCCATCTGGCTGGGCTTCCCCAGCCACTCTGGGCGGCTTCCAACAAAATATTAAAATACTGTAATACATCAAACATCAAAAGCTTCCCTAAACAGGGCTGCCTTCAGATGTCTTCTAAAAGTCTGGTAGTTGTTGTTCTCTTTGACATCTGGTGGGAGGGCGTTCCACAGGGAGGGCGCTACTACCGAGAAGGCCCTCTGCCTGGTTCCCTGTAACTTGGCTTCTCGCAGTGAGGGAACCGCCAGAAGGCCCTCAGCGCTGGACCTCAGTGTCCGGGTAGAACAATTGGGGTGGAGACCATTTTCTTGCCCATCTCCATTCAGCACATCAACAGCTCCTTTTGCTGAGCACAAATATGGGTTTGGGTAGCTGTTCAAGGCCCACCAGAAAAACCTCACCAAGGTGGGTGTCCTTCTGGTCTACCCAAACACCAAGCTTGATGAATCCTGTTCCTTCCTACCACTGCCTTGCATGCAGAAAGTAACAGGTTCAGTCCCCAGCATCTCTGGATAGTGCTGGGAGAGAGCCTTGTCTGAAATCCTGGAGATGCACAGTCAGTCTGCGTAGACACTGCTGAGCCAATGTTCTGACTCAGTATAAGGCAGCTTCCTTTGTCCCTATGCCTGCTTTACAACAAAATGTGTCAGAAACAAATGCTACCACAATACAAACTCAACAAGAAGGAAAGGGGGGGGTATAATGAGGTGGGGTGAAACATAATCCAAATATCTTATTTTTTTAAAAAAATAAAGGAGCAAGGAAAATGATATTTTGTGAAGGTCAAGGCTATACTCCAATGATAAACATGAAATAGTAGCTTCTTCTAACCGAGTTTTATAATGAAATCAAGTTCCCAAGGAGGAAATGATGTGCATTATGAAGTTCATATTACATTTTGATGCCTTGTGTCAGACCTCATATTGCTGCCTTTGAGCAGGACAAGGCACTGATGTGGTGGTTTGATAAAAACTGCCATCTGGAACTTCTTCCCCATCCCTTTTCAAAGAAAGAGATGGGGTGAGCATTTCCACAGCGACACTCTGTAAAACTAGCAATCCTGCCCACTTCTCCAATGCTCTTAAAGTTTTGCATTTAGGTACCTGCAAGTCCTTTCAATCTTTTTAGAATAGCCTTAAATCTTTTATTTTTTAAAAGATTTGTATCCAGTGATAGTGAAAAACCCACACTGTGAACTTTCATGAAATATCCATTAAAACCAACTATTTCTCCAAATAGAGGATAGCATATATCCATGCACAGAAAATCTAAGATTTCTGCTTTGGCTTAGTATTTATCAAGTTGAGAATAAATGTTAAGGCATACCTGTTAATGTGAAGCAGTATGAAATCTGATGAACAGCAAAAACATTTTGAAACTTGAGATGGGGAGATTTTGTGGATTAAAACTGCTGAGCTTTGGATTTTCCCTTTAGTATCAATAGATGGACTCTGAATCACCAGGTTTTATCTATCTCTCCGCTTTGTCTCCTTCGTTATCCCCTTCCTATCCTTTATAAATGAAGCAGCTATTTATATAAAATTATACATTAATTCTGAAGTAACAATTAAAAATAGATCAGATTCCTCTCTGCCGTCTATTGCTCTCAGTTATGGAATATATGTTTTTGCAGGATCCGCTTTAAACAGAGTTCCTTAGCACTAGAACTTGGAATTCATAGAAGCACCCAGTTTTGTTTCTATCGGTGGGGGGGCAGTGTTAATTAGTTCCATTTTGCTCCACTCAATTATGCTGTAGACTGTAGAATCTGAAAGAATTCCACAATCAGTCTGGGTCCACACAAAGAGAATGGAGGATAAATTGTGTGATCCTCATTTTAAGGTGAATTCTTTGCTTCTGGATTCACGTGGCCCTTTTCTCAGTCCCACCACCCTCACAGGCACAAGAGAGGGCCTTCTCTGTGGCTGCTCCTAGTTCTTGGAACTCCTTCCCTAGAGATGTTGGACTGGCTCCCTCCTTGTTGTCCTTCCGATGGCAGACAAATACCTTCTTGTTCTAACAGGCTTTTGGGAACTGACTGCTTTTAATGAAAGGGCGGGTGCCATGCTATTTTTATTGTAATTATTTGTATGGTTTTTAATATATTTTACATATTTATATATAATGCCTACTCATTCTTCAAGGATTTTTTGTGGTTTTAGCAGTTCTTATTTTTATCTATCTCCTGCCAACCTAGCAGTTCGAAAGCACATCAAGTGCAAGTACATAAATAGGTACCGCTCCGGCGGGAAGGTAAACGGTGTTTCCGTGCGCTGCTCTGGTTCGCCAGAAGCGGCTTAGTCATGCTGGCCACATGACCCGGAAGCTGTACGCTGGCTCCCTCGGCCAATAAAGTGAGATGAGCGCCGCAACCCCAGAGTCGGTCACGACTGAACCTAATGGTCAGGGGTCCCTTTACCTTTACCTTTATTTTTATCTATAAGCTGTCTTGAGTCCCATCAGGCACTCAATATGTGGGATAGTAATTAATTAGTTAATAATAACAATATATAATGTGGATTAGAATGGAGCTATGGATCAGGATACAAATGTCTCTGAATTTTGTAATTTTGGTTTTAAAACAATGTGTGATTTACATGGAGAAAATGAATATAAAAATGTGCATTTTAGGGGAAACTGCATCAAAAAGCATAGAAACTGTATTTTAGGAGAACATATACAAATTGCAAACTTTATAGAAAAGTGCATGCATTTCGATTGCAACATTTCTCTGTACATTTTATTTTAAATTTTGCAAACAAACACAGGCTGGAACAGATGTATCATCGAGAGCATATGAAACTAACACAGAACAGAAATAGGCTGATCCAACCATACCTAGCTTTCTTCGTGCAAATCTGAATAACTCTGTTCTAAGGAACAGATCTTCACGGGTCACCATCTACTCTACTTGTTTTCAGCCTCAAACACACCTCAGACTCACCCAAAAGACTTCTGACATGGGATGCACTTTAGCGGCATTCCTAATTATTGGAGATCATAAAGAAGACGAAATTACAGCTCTGAGCTTGTACCTGCAGCTCTGGGATTGTAAAAACAAGGTTTCCAGGTTAAAGGCCAACACACAGCTAAAGGCACTTAACCCCATTGATTTCAGTTGACTTAAGTGTGCTGAACTTGGTGTTGGTTTGTTGCCAAACTATGTGGCTTTTAGATGGGCATGATCTCCACGACTCCTTTCCTTAGAAATTAATCATATTTCTCAAGGCCTGCAAAATCTCTGTATACTTGGCAAACCAGTTCATATATTAGAATAATGAAACACTACTGAAATGCCATGAATAAGCTACTTTTCGACTTGTTTGCACTAAATTCATACTGCAGGTAATTTGTCCCTACAAGATATTATTTTACAATTCTGATTTGTAGCACCTGCTCCCTTGTCACAGATGATCTTCTTCCCATGTAACGAAAATAAGTATTTTTAAGTATGCAGATTTTTGGCAATTGTCCTGGGCTCATCCTCATGATAACTGCTAAGTCTTCTGGTCGTATGCAGCTTAATTGAAAATCTTCTTGATACTGAAGTCAACTTCAGGATTACACTTCTGTCATTGCTGTTATCAAGGGACTCAGGCATTAATAGAGGTTCCTTGTTAGGCTTTCTCCTCCTCACCTTGGTTTCTCACATTACCCAATTGCTTTGAGATTTTTCAACACCACAGCTCTAGTGTCTGAAATAAATCTAACTGTGAATTTTCATTATGGAACACAGACTAAAGAAGAAGCCAAGATGTGTGCACTTTCTTTCCCCTCCATCATATCCTTTACAAGTGGAGAGACTTGCCATCAGTGACTGGGACGGACTGGGCAGAGAGGAGAAGGAAATTCTTTATTATTTTCCTTGCTTCTTCACTCTTTTCCTTTAACCTCCACGGCATTTGACTGGCAGCTCTCCCTGTGAGAAAGGTTCCACTCTAGCTTCTACACAAATACCAATATGTATTTATTAGATACATTTATTACCTGCACTTCACCAAAGATCCCAGGGTGGGTCACATATTTATTTATTTATTATTTTATTTTATTTTAATACATTTATAAACAGCTTAATATTTCAAAATTAAACAAATCTCAAAGTGATACACAATCTCACTAACTAACAAACATCATTAAATAAAATATTAAAACAAAAACATGATCTCAAGTTAATAAATGATAGTATAAAAACACATAAATGCAAATAAAGCAGAAATTCAAAGGACTCGCCAGGATTTTAAACAGGGTCCAATCTAATAAAATAGTATGGCTAGACCGAATGCATGCTTAACCCCTTTTCTGTCTCTTGCTTTCATTTGCAGTCCACAAGAGTGAAGCATCATTTAATCATAAATGGTTTCAATATAGGCCAGTTTTACACCTCTCCAATTTTTTTATTACTTTTATTAGTTCCAGAAGTTGGGAACACTGGGAACTTCTTTTTGACCATGATATAAAATAAAAAGGAAGTGATTTCAGTCTTCTTTTCCAACTTGTTTGCAGCCTTAGAGATTCAACTAAAGCAGTATTATGAGGAGTAGAAAGGGAGGAAGTGACTGGCTATTCCATAACTGCTCCTGATAGTTTACAGAAATATAAAGCAGTGAGTTACTGCCATTGTGAAACCCAAATCAGATCTTAGAGAGACATCCTCCTGCCTTGCGTCTGTCACCCCTGGAAACTGAAGCCGAAGCTGATTTTCCATCTTAATCAATGTTATCTCTGCTTGAACTTCTATTGTCATTCATCCTTACCCCAAGTATTTACTCTTCCCTCCATTTGTTGACTGACCCCACCCTGTGTGTATCCAATGGAAAATCTGAAAGTGGCTCCCACATGTTTACAAATGGATGCAGAAGAAGCTTTTCTATGGGATGATCAATCATGTTCTGCTTTATTCTGTGGAAAGTGAATCATATATTTTCCAGGACCGACAAAAGTTACATTAATATTATTCTTCCTGGGATCCACAAACTGTCTTAAACGTATTAAAATACTTCCCTGAAAGGTCGTATAAAATGAGTAGTTGATGGTTTATAAATTGCAAAATTTGCATCTGTGTGAAATAAGCATGCAAATAAAAGTGAGGGACATTTACCTCTTTAAATTTGCAGAGCTTTATTCACTCAAGATGTAATGAGTCCCTCTTACATTTTGTGTAACCAATAGGCAGTCATATAACCTATTATTTTGAAAAATGTCCAGATTGTGTGTCGAGGTCCCCAAGACACCCCCTAAATAAAACACAATTGACACATAATTTTAGTTTAAGGTTTTTGGCATAATTTTGGCCACAACTTTATTAAAATTACAAGCAATGTGAGTGGTTGCTTAGGCATTGGTTGTGACTATCTGACCCCGCATGGGGACAGACTGACATTTCATAGAATCATAGAATCATAGAGTTGGAAGAGACCACAAGGGCCATCGAGTCCAACCCCCTGCCAAGCAGGAAACACCATCAGAGCACCCCTGACATATGGTTGTCAAGCCTCTGCTTAAAGACCTCCAAAGAAGGAGACTCCACCACACTCCTTGGCAGCAAATATCACTGTCGAACAGCTCTTACTGTCAGGAAGTTCTTCCTAATGTTTAGGTGGAATCTTCTTTCTTGTAGTTTGGATCCATTGCTCCGTGTCCGCTTCTCTGGAGCAGCAGCAAACAACCTTTCTCCCTCCTCTATGTGACATCCTTTTATATATTTGAACATGGCTATCATATCACCCCTTAACCTCCTCTTCTCCAGGCTAAACATGCCCAGCTCCCTTAGCCGTTCCTCATAAGGCATTGTTTCCAGGCCTTTGACCATTTTGGTTGCCCTCCTCTGGACACGTTCCAGTTTGTCAGTGTCCTTCTTGAACTGTGGTGCCCAGAACTGGACACAGTTCCAGGTGAGGTCTGACCAGAGCAGAATACAGTGGCAGTATTACTTCCCTTGATCTAGATGCTATACTCCTATTGATGCAGCCCAGAATTGCATTGGCTTTTTTAGCTGCCCGCCAGCGAAGTCAGAAAGGGAAAACATTTTGGGGAGAGAGATGGAGCTGGGTACCATACCTCACCTCTCCCCAAATTTTCCCAGGGGCTCTTGAGTGGTCCTAGTCCCTTGACAGGCGTTTGGACAAAAGCATGGCGAGCCCCTGGATTCCTTTAACGGAATACCCTTGCAGCAGCAGCATTTGGAGGGGCAGGCACAGCCAATCTATTCCCCTCCACCAACCAATTAAAACCAATGCCTAACCACAACCTTACAAGTTGTGATGATTTGCTACACAGTAGGCAAAAACCAAATGGCACCAGCCAATCAGCCAAATGGACAAAATTCCTACCGGGCCCCTGCCCCAAAGCAGGCGACCCCATGACAGGCATAGCAGGGTCAAGCGAACAACCCTGAAAATAGGGAGGGTGATCCGATGCGTGCAGCGAAAAGAGGAAGCTCAATGCTGCGCGTAGGGTATTTAAAGGCTATGGCTGTCAATCACAAAATGGCAACATAAAATTCTCCTCAGCAACAAGAAAAGCTCAGTGATAATGGTGGCAAATCTCTTTCCTGCCCAGCAACAGTGTGTGTCTTGATAGCCCCCACCGCAACACATGCTGTTCATGAAGGAGAACACGCTTTATGAAATAACGGACTGTCTGGAATTAGTAGTCCACAATGGCTAGCTGTTAACAGAGGGTGACTCTTTCCTACCTTCACACTATGACCCCTTTATTTTTTTGATAGGCACAAGGAATAAAGAAATGAATGCAGCAAATAACATGGAAGGTAGCAGGGAATATTTTTTTTAATAGTGGGAAATAAACAATGCAAAACAATGGAACAATATAAACACCTAAGGCCTTGAAGAATACTTAACCCTCTGAGGAAACTGCATTCACTTGAGAATTTTCTGGTTCTACGTGTAACCTGTGATCAGATGAAGAGTGAGAGCAAATGAAGTCAAGGAGAGTGAGACAAAAGCCTGGCTGCCATTAGCCCATGAAATTCTTGGCAAGTGACCCTAGGCCACTTAAAAGAAGGGAAATGAGAAGCAGCTGGGACTATGAAAATAAAAAAGGCATTGATCAGTTTGGAAACAATGTGAACAAATATGCAGTGAGCATCAAAATGAGATTTTCAAAAGCACTTGTGAAACTAGGGCAAGAAGCCACAGAAATTGTCCCACTAGCCCCCATATCTTTATTTCCCTGCCTGACTGGGAGATCAGGCAGACTGCTTTCTTTCCCAATTTCAGGAGATCAAAACTTTCATCCTGCTCTTTAGAGATCCTCTCTACAGGTGGAGGGATATTTTAACATTAATCTTAGTGCTAAGTACCACAGTGGTGAGATCAGAAATAATCCCTCTGCATGCTTTTCAGCAGTAAAATACAGCATTTTCCTCTGACTCAAGTGCAGGTGGGTGTGGGTGAGAGGTCCTTGCTCTTGAAGAGCAAGCAGAGGGTTTATCTCTCAGAGCATTGGTGGTTAGCACCAAGATCAGAGAGACAATATCCCTTTTGTACCTCTCAAGTGCTTCCCTGAAACACAAAACTGTTTCTCTGCAATTTGGCAGGCTGTATCTGCTCTGGAGACTTTCCTGTACCTGTAAATTTTGTAAGCTGCTTTGAGGTTTGATTACAATCAAGCAAAATGTAAGTCTTGAGAAATAAATTGCAAAATAATTTTTATCCACTTTAGCCAAAAGGGGGGAAAGATATAGCCATGTTTAGATGACCACAGAGGTTTGCCTTATATAGAGCAACGTCAAACCTAAATTACAGAAGTGAAGAAAACACAGAGAGATGCAGAGAGATACAGAAACAGGTCTTTTCTGCACAGATGCAATGTGAACCTTGGGGGCCATGCACACCCCTAGTATTTACGAGCAGACAACACTGTGCACATCATTTGTTAATTCATCATAATTATCTGCTCCAAGATTTTATCAAGCAAAGCAGCACCTAATTGAAACCTATTTTTATGGGTGGCTACTCTCAAGTGACTTATTTTTTTGGGGGGAGGGGAGTATGTTGGGCATTTCCACATTTCAGCAATGACATTTCACATTATGGTGTGTCCCATCAGACTGTACACATCAGTTATGATGCATTTAACTCATGTTCTTATTATCTCGGATGCAGTCAAATATGACACATCAAAACATACAACATTCAGGATGATAAAGAGATACTTCCGGTATTTTCTGTGTGCGCGCACACACACACACACACACACGTAAAACAGAACGGTAATTTGCCAGTTCCACAAGAAATGCGTGCATATCTTTCCTCCCTAAGAAATTTTTCTTGCATTTTGAATAGAAGCGCAGATCAGAGCTTTTTAATGCAGTCTTTGGAGAAAATTCTGTGCTTTGAACTCTGATTTGCACTTTCAGGGAAATGCCTCTGGCCATTGATGCTGAAGTCATGTTCCGAATACTGTGTGAAATAGATGTTGCCACATCACCTCCCCTCCCCCCCCATTCAAGTTCTGAGCTTTATTACAAAACTTTGCATCTCCCCTTTCCCCCTATAATCAACCCTGTTTTTTCCAGCAGTATCACCACTATTTTTTGCCAGAGTGGCCACCCTTTCAAGAAATAGCAACAGTGAATCTGCATGTCAGCTGAACCTTACCTTAGTAATAGCACAAAAAGTTAATGCATGGGTAAGAGTCTGTAAGGGAACCTTATTGTTGCTGGGAGTTTGCATCTTTTCACAAAAAAATAACCAAGACTATGATTCTATGGGTAACACTACTTAAACATGATGCCTGGTTGGAAAGTGAATGGGTTTCTCTTTTGACAATCAACAAAGCCAATTGTTAGACATTATCAAAGGTGCTGGGTTTCAGCCAGTGTTGGTTTTACTCAGAGCAAACCCATCAAAATTAATGGGCATGACTAAGTGAGGACCATTAATTTCAGTTGGTCTACTCTGAGTAGAACTTGCTTGTATCCCACCTCTTCATCTTCTTCTATGTTTAAGTCATAGCTCCGTTTAAGTCATACCTGCGTGAGGTGGGGAGAAATGATCTGCTCTTTTTATATTTAGTATTTGTTTCAAAATCAATAAAGAAAATGAATAATATAAAAGTTTTGTCAATAAATGTAAAAGGATTAAACATCCCCAATAAATGAATTGGATCTGTAATGTTATGAAAAAGAAAGAAACCAAGAAAAAGAAAATGCAGCTTTAAGCGTGTTGCAAATAATGCATATCAAGAAAGGGGAGGGATGAGTATTGGATGGTTTTAAAAGTCTCTTTCTCATGCTCTGAAAAAAGAATAGGGTGGGAGGTGTAACTGTATCTGGGAAAAAAGACCCATTCCTATATCCTTTTGAGAATGTTTAAACGATAAAAAAGCCAGTTCGTATTTAGGATAGGGCATCTGATAGATAAATCTTACTTTATAGGCTGCATATTTATACCCCAAATATTAACTTTTTTAAGAAAATAAACAAGCAAGCAATATATTACTTTCCTGAAGTGAGTGGTACCAATCTGAAGTTGAACATTTATTTTTAAGACGTTGAAGTATGGACTTCCTTTCTTTGCTTTTTCAGAAGGTTTCATTTCTCCTTTTTAAAGCTATTATCCTACTTAGATGTATGAAAGACTGTGAAGGAGCAGTGGAAGGACCACTATTGGAAAGAATGAGAAACACTGTTGAAAGCCAAAATGGAATCAAAGGGGAAAGTATCTCAACTAAGGCAGTGAGATAATATTCTAGGCAGTATCGAAAAGCCCATTTCCCTTTTCCCTTTACCATTTTCTGGGAAATCCTTTGAAGGGGGGTGAAAGTGTTTACCCATGAAGAGCAGATACAGTCAGTGATGCAGAAAGCTATGATTGATACCGGTAATGTCACTCTCACTTCCAACTGGGTTTGTGTGCTCTCACTGATATGGTCATGCATCCAGACTGACTGGCTAGGCAGTGGATGATGCCACCTTGATCAACCATGTGATTAAACAAGAAAGACAAGAATGCGAAGAGATTCATTTCCTTCATATTTTTAGTTGTTTTTATCCACTTTTATGTCAAAGTAGGGAGAGGAAAGAATGGCAGCAAACTGCAGTAAAGGCTTGGCAAATGTGAACATGCACTATTTTTTTCTTTTGATTTCTTTTTTCACCCAAGGTCCTGTTTTTTTGTGCAAAAATTAGACAACTAGTACCTCCCTTCTCAGTGACAAGCATGGTAATTCTAATTCTGTGAAAGCTTAAATCTATTAAGAAACCCAGAGAATAAATATACTGAATTAATATTCTTGAAATGAAGGTAAACAGTGCAATGGTCATTCAAGGAAGTTTGCTATTATAGACATTGTTAGCAATAGAAAAAGATGAGACCAATTGTATTCAAAAACAATCATCTTGAGCAATCAGAGGACAAGAATATTTAATGCCTTTCCCAAACAGATGGAGGAATAAAAAATACTGCACTGCAGATGTGTACATATGGGCAAATAAATGCATTGTTAACACTAGCATATAAAGCAAATGCATCAATATTCCATTAAATGTTTTATTTGCAAACTACAGTATGGAGATAGAGTTGTCAATATATCCTGGTTCTAAGAGATACGAACAGGGGTGGTTGGACTTAAGACTTCACAGCCACAAAAGACAAAGCGAAGTTTAGTACCATTGTGTTGGTATACAACCAGGATTCTAAGTCCTGTTGACATATTGCAATTAGCACATTTCTTATCTTTCTGAGTGGCCAAGAAGAAGAGAAAACTACATTCTTGTCATAAATTATACAGAGGTACCTCAGGTTAAGTACTTAATTCGTTCCGGAGGTCCGTACTTAACCTGAAACTGTTCTTAACCTGAAGCACCACTTTAGCTAATGGGGCCTCCTGCTGCCGCTGCGCTGCTAGAGCACAATTTCTGTTCTCATCCTGAAGCAAAGTTCTTAACCTGAAGCACTATTTCTGTAACCTGAAGCGTATGTAACCTGAAGCGTATGTAACCCGAGGTACCACTGTAATTCCAGTTCTCCTCTTTAGAGTCTGACCTCCACATCCAAGTACTCTTTACTGCTTCCCTTTTTAGCCCCTGTTTTCTAGACTTACTGAAATCTGTGTATTGGTCACTCCCAACCTGACATCAGACTTCTTTCCAAAGTTACAGGAACATGCTTCCTTGTTTCATTCTTCTGTGCGGAACTTTCGAGAACATTCAAGCACTCCTCCTTCTTTGTCCATGGTCTTCTGACATTGTATAATATGGTAGGGCCTTAGTCTTTCTGGACTCTTCTGTATGAGAAGCCTTCTCTGACTTTATCAGACGAAGTTAACATTATATCAGTGATGACATGCCTTTTATGGTTTAATGTAATAAAACCTTTTTGACATCCTTGGAATGAGGAGTCAATTTATGTAAACAGGCATTGAACAAAACTCATAATTGAACTCGCCCTTGAACTTAGGTACTCATAATGAGACTGATTGAATATCAAACAAAGCAACCTTACAAACACAATAGCCCCCTTTAGGCAGTTTCTGCCTCACACCATTAACGGTCATGTGTGGGTCAGAGCAGGACCACTCCAACTGCCCTCATACCCACAGTCGCATTACCTGTTCGAACTCCCCCAGCCCCTCTGTCCAAATGTTGCATTAAGAAGCCATATTGAAAATTTAGTACAATCCCACTATCTTTCTCATATGATAGTTGGGGGCATGGTGATGCTTGAAAAGAGGCTACAGCTGTATTTTCCGGGTATAATCCACCCAAAACAATTGCTTTGTACATTTTCCCAAGACTCCCATGTTGATATAAATGGAGCAATTTTCAATTTTAGATGCTCCTATGTATTTTGCCATGCACATAGATCTTCCATGTGTGGGGGGAAGACTCACTTAAAACAGAAGAGTAAATTCATATAAAGGAATATGCATGCAAAGTTGCTATCTCCATTTAGGTCAATGGGGCAGACTAAGCTGGAGAGCTCCACTGGAGATCCTGCTAATCATTACTTCAATTGGTCTGGGCCAATGGTATGAAAACCAATAAGGCAGGCATAGGGGACCCCAGGCCCTTCAGGTGGCGTTGGACTCCAGCTTCCACAACCAGCCATGCTATCTGGGGCTGATGAGAGTTGAAGTCCACCAACATCTGGATCCACATGTTCCCCATCCCTGCTACAAGACCACTCTTCGGCCTCAAACAAAGAACAGTGATTCAAGGGGAATCGGATACCTCTTTTCAATAGAATTCAGAACAGGCCTTGAACTGACATAGTCACAAAGAACCATTCTCTTAAACAAGAAGGGGAAACTCTTTTGATGATTATGTGAGGAGACTTTGAGCAGTGTCTGTCAAAACTATCCTTCAGGCCATTAAAACAGTGCTTTGAATTATCAAATTTCTGGAAGTTTCCCAAACTAAAATGACTGAAAAATGTTTTAAATATTTTACAACCAAACTGATAAACCATTAATTGTACTCTTAATTATACATGAAGTAAACCATTACATACAAAAGAGGTTAATTAATTGGTTTCCTAGGGAAGCCTGGGGAAAAAAGAAGAAAACATTGCCGAAGGCTTCTTATACCTCATTTGGATATGTTTGTTTGTTTCACCGCATTACTGACAGTTTCAACATTCATATATATAGATACAAAAATAACTAAAATATTATGAAGTTCAATCAAATTTGGAATACAGCATTTAAATGTATGTATGAATGTATGTATGTATGTATCTGCTTCAGGAAGTATGTTGCATGTTTAATAATGACTTTTAATAGTGTTGTGCTGCTTTATTACCTGTAGTTTAATATATTTAATGTTATTTTAATTCTATTTTTAATGATTATCTTTTATATGTTTTAATTGTGATGGCACTTGGAGGCGAGCAGCTACAATGCTTTCAAATCTCAGTTGCTGCACGATTTCAGCAGGCATCTTGTCATCCACTGTGAGACCAGGATGCTGGACTAGATGGGCCATTAGCCTGATCTAGCAGGCTGTGATTATGTTCTGGTGTTCTTTTATTTATTTATTGAACTCTGTCTCGTCTTTAAGTGGTTTTTACTCTCTTTGTGGATCTTTATAGAACTAGAACCTTATAAGTACAACCCCCATGATCTACCTATATAATTGTGGGTGGAATAGACTTACTTGAAAGCTAGAAATCCAGATAACTGGGGCCGTTTTTCTGACAATCTTCACATGTTCAATGAATGTACAAAGTGGTGGGGAGGCAGTATTGTGGCATTAAATCCAGCCTCATGCTATGTACATTCACCGCAAGGTATAAACAAAATACAAAAAAAGCCCCATGCATCCAAACCTCATTCCCCCACACTGTGTACATTCATCAGGTGTGTTAATATGGTATGAAAAGGGTGTTTTTTAAAAAGCTGCAGATGGAATCTACACAGACTGTGAAAAATATGTTTCTGTGTGGAAACATCTGGGAACTGGCTAGTAAAAGACTAGTAGCAGAAATGCCACAGCGCATGTGAGACCACGAGAAATCCAGAAGGATTGCCCAAGGAAATCCTTGGGAAATCTATGTTGTTGGGTTTTCTTTAAAAAGGGGATACTGAAACAAAAATTCTTCTGAGCATTTCAAGCAACCCTATTGCAGGCTCACTTGTGCCACAGATGAATCTGCATTGAGAATATACCTTTCCTTTAGAAAATGAAATAAATAATAACTTGCTGTTCTTTGCTACCCAGTTGCTCAGGCACCATTTCCC